GGAAGATGGCAGATTTGCACGTTACATTGTCTTTCGAGCAGACACTTCCTTATGTAAATAGATTATATTCATTAGTTTTCTGTTGCTGTGATAAAACGCCGTTGCCAAGGCAATGTATAGAAGAGTTTGTTTCAAGGTTTCAGAGGGTTATAGTCTGTGATGGTAGAGCAAATGTATGGCCATAGAAAGCTGGGGTCTCACATCTTGAACCACAAGCAAAGAGAATAGAAATGTATGAGTCTTTAAATTCTCAAAGCCCACCCCCAGTGACATATTTCCTTTAGCAAGGCCATACCTCCTAGACCTACCCAAACAGTGCACTGACTGTGGACCAACCGTCCAAATGTCCAAACGTAAGGAACATCTCATTCAAACTACCACATAGACACTCAGAGGTTTCCTGGCCTTTGAGAAATGTTAAACTTTTACTTTTGGGGGTTTGTTTTGTTTTTAAGACATAATCTCACTCTGTGGACCAGGCTGTCCTGGAACTCAAGATTCTAGCTCAACCTCCCAAATGCTCGAGTTACAGGCATCAGCTAGCAGGTCAGGCTAACTTTGAATTCTATTCTCTCCCTAACGTGTAAGACCTCTTAGGAGCAGGAACATGAGTGAGACTTGAAACAGGTGTCCTCACAAGCAAGCGAGAGCTTGCCTGTAGAGAGCCCAGGGCGCTCCTCCAGGCTCTGCTGTGAGCAGCTGTGAGGCCAGCTTCCTGTTCTTAGACCAAGTACCTGTTTCGATGCTGCAGGGTGATCTAGACTGTTCTGTGTTTAGCCAGTTTACCCCATGAGTTAACCTTGGAGCGAAGTAGTAGTTCACCTACAGCAAAGGAATTTTGTTAAAATCCGGAACACCACTACAGATTCCTCTGCTGAGCACATGGTCTTAAGCACACCATGTTGCTGAATAGTCTACAGTTGTATTTGTGTTGACATTGTCATTACCAAGTCTGTGTGACAGGGCCTGTGTGTTAGGCATAGTGCAATATGTGTTGTATAGCAGTGCCGAATGCTTTTGAAGGTCATGGCTGTTTAAAAATTCTTTTTATGGATTTTTGTTGACATTTTCTATAGTTTTGCACTTTTTTCTTTTTCTTTTTTCTTTCTTTCTTTCTATTTTTGGAAACAGGGTTTCTCTGTGTAGCCTTGGCTGCCATGGAACTCGCTCTATAGACCAGGCTGGCCTTGAACTCAGAGATCTGCCTGCTTTTATCTCCGAAGTGTTGGGATTAAAGTCATGTGCCACCACCGCTTGGTTTTGTCCTTTTTCTTTAATGTGTTTAGTAATTCCTTTGGAGTCCTGTTGTGACATCACAGTCTGGTCATTCTCGGATTGGCTTCAGCTGCCTGCTTTTTACATTGCCAATGAGGCTTTTCTGCTTTGTAGATCATGTAATATTTTAGTTGAGTTTTAGATGTATTTGAAAAGACTAGAAAGAGATGCTCTTTTTGTCCTGGGCAAGTCTTCCTCATTACTGCAGAATTCCTAAACTAGGAGACCAAAGGACTGTTTACTGCTGCTTTCCAGTCATTCTTCCCAGCATCCCAACACTTGGTGCATGCCATATGGGGACCACCAGACCCCATGACATTTGGGCTTCTCTGGATTGCATTTTGGCAACTGGCTCATTTGGTTATCTGTATAGGACTCCACCTTAGGGTGACATTCTAGGGTGTCACCTCTTAGTGCTGTTGATAGAACTCCATGTGATGACTGAGATATTTGTGTTATCCAAAAAGGGAACCACTGGTTGTAAGTGGCTGTCAATGGCTTGAGGTAGGTATGACCAGTGTGCCTGAGGAAAACAGGTTTGGTTTTGTTTTCCAAGATAGGATCTCTTTCCTGTCTGACCTGGAATTCCTTTTGTAGACTAAGCCTGCCATTCCCTCTGAAGTGCTGGGGTAAAGCCACTGTGCCCAGCTGAAAACAGGTTTTAATGTAATTAAGTTCCAAAAGCAACATTTGGCAGTCAGCTCTCATGAAGGCCAGTGTGTGCCAGTCTACCGTTATTAACACTGATGCCAATGGGAATTTTTCTTTTTTTTCTTCCTTTCTTTCTTGCTTAATTTCTTTTATGTTTATGAGTGTTGTGCCTACACGCAAATATGTGTACAACATATGCATTCCTGGTACCTGAGGAGGTCAGAAGAGGATATCAGATCCCCCGGAACTGTAGTTATTGGTGGTTGTGAGCTATCATGTGGTTCTGAGAACCAAATCCAGGTCTTCTGCAAGAGCAACAAGTGCTCTTCACTGCTGAATCATCTTTCTAGGCCTCATACCGTTGCTTCTTAGGATCCCTGCTGAGCCAGTCGAGGTTTGTCAAGAGAGATGGCTGAATTCAGGAGTAAGAATGCATTGTCCATGTGGGATAGACACTAACTGTATGGAACACATGTTTTGTTTTGTTTTGCTTTTTAATCAAATGTATGTGGATGTTTGCCTGCATGTATGTCTATATACCACATGCCTGCCCAGTGCTAAAGGAAGCCAGAAGAGGATGTTGGGTCACCAGGATTTGGAGTTGTGAGCCGCTGTGTGGGAGCTGGAAATTGGACCTGGTTCCTCTGTAAGAGCAGCCAGTGATTTAAATGCTGAGCCACCTCTCCAGCCCCAACACGGGTCTTCTTAGAATACAGGAATTACTTGCTAAAAGATTCTATTCGGGGAACTGCAAGGTGGCTTAGTGCCAGGCCTGCTGACCTGAGTTAGAGCTCCAGAACCTCCATGGTAGGAGAACAGACATTCCTCAGGTTGTCCTCTGACCTCCACAGGTACACCATGGCACATACAAGGGCACACACATACACAAATAACAAATGTAAAATAAAAATGTGAAGATTTCTCCCAGGAGGTCTTTGAGAGGGACTTACTTAGTGTTTTATATTTTAAAGCTGTCTTACTAACTTGATACATTCTTACTGTATTCTTTGTAGAATTTTTCAGACTTTCTCTTTCGTTGGTACCTGGAAAAAGGAAAGCGGGGCAAACTATTATCTCAGCCCATTTCTCAACATGGACAGTTGGCAAATTTTTTGCAAGCCCATGAGCATCTCAGCTGGTTACATGAAATTAATAGTCAAGAATTAGAAAAGGTAAGACGGTTTGGTTATGAGAAGCAGCTGGTTATGCAGTTTAAGTATTTTTAATTAATCTGAGTCTTAGTAATTAAAGTGTTGTTTATATCCATGCAGCCTGGATTTTTTCTTTTCTCGCTGGAGACAGGGCCTCACTTTGTAGCTCTAGCTGACCTGGCGTTCACTATATAGACCAGTCACAGGGATCTACTTGTTTCTACCTGCTGAGTGCTGGGATTAAAAATATATGCCACTATATCTGACTTAAAATCCTCTTACATCATTTTGCGTGTGTGCATATGCATGAGCACTGGGTAGGGTGGGGAGAGGTCAGAAGACAACTTGAGGAAGTTAGTTCTTTCCCAAAGACTCTAGGGATTAAACTCAGATGGTGAGGCGAGGTGCCAAGTGTGTTTATCTGATGAGCCATCTCAGACTCTCAAATATAAGTTCTTATGGTATAGATATGTTAACTAGCTTTATTTAACCTTTCTTATTGTATGTATCTATTTAAACTTCATCTTGCATTCTATGAATATATAGATATAGTTAAGATGTGCCAACATACAATTTTTTTTTATTAAAACAAGCTATTAATGGATTGTTAACACATGTACTTCCTGTCCAAATTTACTTTCTGATGCAGTGATAAACACTGTGATCAAGAACAGCTTCGGGGAGGAAGGGTTTATTTGGCTTACACATCCCAGAATCACAGTGATCATTGAAGGAAGTTGAGACAGAAACTCAAACAGAAGCAGAGGCAGGAACCGTAGAGGAAAGTTGTTTACTGGCTTCTCTTCAGGCTCCCATTCAGCTACCTTGTTTATATAGCCCAAGCCCATCTGGCCAGCATAGTACTGCCCACAATGGGCCCTCCTACTTCAATTAGCAGTAGAGAAAATATCCCCAACAGACATGCCCACAGGCCATTCTGAGAGAGGTAATCTCTCAGTTAAGATTCCTTCTTCCCAGCTACATCTAGGTTTGTGTCAAGTTGACAAAAATCTCACCAGCATACCTCCTATATTCTCACATCGTTGCAATGGTATTGTCTTACTTCTCATACTTCAAATGTAGGTCACTGTACTTGGTCTATTACAGTTTTTAACATTACAGATATTTTATTAATTTTACATAAAAGTCATTGCTCTTTTTTTTTTTTTGGAAGTTTATTTATTTATTATGTATACAGTATTCTGTCCACACATATGCCTGCAGACTAGAAGAGGGCACCAAATCTCATTATAGATGGTTGTGAGCTACCGTGTGTTTGCTGGGAATTGAACTCAGAACCTCTGGAAGAGCAACCAGCAGCCAGTGCTCTTAACCTCTGAGCCATGTCTCCAGCCCCGGTCTCTTCTTATTAATGACATGTAATGAAAATTCAAATCATGGGATCTAGGAAGGTGGCTCAGTCAGTAAAGTGCTTGCTACACAAATGTAAGGACCTGAGTTAGGATCCTGAGAACCCATGTGAAGAGCCAGGCCTGCAGCGTACGCATATAATCTCATACTGAGAAAGACAGAGACAGGCAGATCCTGGGAGCTCACTGGACAGCCAGCCTTACCTAGTTTATGAGCTCCACGTTCAGTGAGAGATCCTGCCTCATAAGAGAAATCAGAGAGCAACTGATAGACACCGAACATTTCTGGCCTGCATATACACATATGTGCATGTGCAAAACAGGAACACATATGTGAAAACTCAACTTACGAGTGAAAACGGTACAAACTAAAGTTGTGCTAGTGACAGAGTGCTAAGTGAATACACAGATGTTATGGAGTGGGTATTTTTTAATTCTTCCTTTCCAGTGCTTGCCAGTGTTCACTTGAGAGTTCGACGTGTATTGCTTGGTGCTTTGGCACTGATCCCAGGTAGGTTTGTTTCCTGCTTATCAGCATGTCTTCTTTCAGACCTGTTTGAGAAGAAATGGGTTTGGTAGTTGCTGAGCGCCTCCAGGAGCCTCTTGTGACTTTCTTGTTTTGTTCATTGCAGGCTCATATGACACTGCTCGGTTTGGCAAACTCAGAAACTCGTTACTTTGCAAAGAAAAAAACCCTTCTTGGCCTGAGTAAACTGGCTGCATTAGCTTCAGACCTTTCAGAGGACACGCTGCAAGAGAAAATTGAAGGTAAGAAGGAATCAGAATGAGAAGGCACATGAGTCAGTTGCACTATGACTACCTGTAGGCATTCCACACCTGTAGGAATGCTGTTGCTTATTTTACTCAACGTCCATACTTCATCATTCAGACATGTGCTTGGAATCATCAATACCATTATTATCCTGCTGGGTAGGAAACAAGGATCCCTGGGGCTTGCTGGCCAACCAGTCTAGCCAAATGAGGGAGCTCCAATTTTTTTAAGAGACCCTATCTAAAAAAACGAAGGCATAGCAATTGCAGAAGACATCCAGTGTCAACCTCTGGCTTCTACACATACAAAAGCTAAGCCGTTGAGTTGAGGGCTTGAGGAAAAGATAATCCTGTGTTTCAGTGTCCGTACACGGACCTCTCCGATAAGACAAGCCCATGTTCCACACTTCGGAAGTGCTGTGACATGGTCACGTATGTCATCCCACGTATCCGTTTGCCAGGGCTTAGCCTGCACCTGCATCTCACCACGAGGGAATACGGCATTGTACACTTGGTTAGCCTGGACTCGTCATAGTAATGTGAAGACAAAAGAGCAAACTGTTTTAGATGAAAGGAGCCATGGCACTTGGTCACCAAATTAACACCTTTGATTGGTCATCCTTCAACCAAACAACTGTGATGAATATTTTGGGAACAACTAGGAAAATTTGAACTATTTTTTTTTTCTTGAAATAGGGTTTCACTATGAAGCCCAGGTTGGCCTTGAACTTATAGCCCTCTCACATCAGTCTCCTGAATGCTATGAATGAGCACATTTAATATTAGATTATATTACCATAAGCTTCTTAACTTCTGTAGACTTAATACTGCTTGTGATTAGATGTCCTTATTCTGTTATTGTAGCTGTAAATTTCTCTGAACCTGCTGCCTTGCCCATCAGTCCAGATGAATCTCCCCCACCCACTGGTCCCACAGCCATTTATAAAATAATTACTCAGAGGCTTATATTAATTACAAACTGTATAGCCTATGGTTTCAGCTTCTTGCTAGCCAGCTCTTTCATCTTAAATTAACGATTCCTATTAATATATATGTTGCCACGTGGCCATGACATTACCAGTCTGCTGACATCTTGTTGCTCCTTTGGCAGTGGCTGGCATCTCTCCTTCTTCCCTCTCTATCTCTGCTTGGATTTTCAGCCTGGCTGTAAGCTTTCTTGCCATAGGCCAAAACAGCTTTATTTATTATCCAATGGGAACCACACATACTCACAGCACACAGAAAGACATCCCACAGCAGGTTTGTTTGTTTTTGTTATTGTTTGTTTGTTTTTTCATTTTTTCCCAAGGCAGGGTTCTCTGTGTTGCCCTGGCTCTCCAGGAACTCACTCTGTAGACCAGGCTGGCCTCAAACTCAAGAGATTCACCTGCCTCTGACTCCTGAATGCTAGGATTAAAGGTGTGCCCTTTTGCTTAGAAATACATACTGAAGATACTGAAGTACTTAGAATTTCAATGCCATGATGCCTGCAGCATCCCTGTGATAGCAAAGGGGTGGGTGGACAAGGAAAGCCAGGCATGGTGGCATACACCTGTGATTACTGCACCTTGGAGGCTACAGCAGAAGAGCTGGACTTTTAAAGCCACTCTCCACTCTTGGCCACATAGTAAACTGAAGGCCTGGGGTATATGAGACCTGTCTCAAAAAAAAAAAAAAAAAAAAAAAAAAACTGAAAGAGCTAGATGTGGTTGTTCACGCCTTTAATCCTAGCACTCAAGAAGTAGAAGATGGCAGATCTGGGTCTCAAAATTAAATAAAATTTGGTTCTATGAGTAATTCCTATGGGAAATTTTAAATTATGGGGAAAGAGGGGTTGTGTTGGATTGGAGGTTCCACCTCCTGAGGTAACTACTGTGATTTTGGTTGTGTTTTGCCCACTGGCAATTTGTGGAACACTACTGCTGTGTGAGTAGAAATGCTGTGCTCTTCGGCCTTTGTCTATTGTGATTGCTGTGGTGGACAGACAGTAGTCCATCTCTCTTCTCCAGCAGCCCAGTGCACAGGGCAGAGAATCTGTAACACGCAGAAGCCTGGCACTTCATCCCAGGTATTCTTATCCATTAATACATGAGTGCACATAGAAAAAAACCCAGGTTTTGTCTTTCTTCTGCTGTATTGTGGTTTCTGAGTGATACTGCCATGCTCTTCCACTGAGATGCTCTGAAGTGGGCCTGCAGCTGGGCCTCCGACCTCCAGAAGTACCTAAGTAGCTTTCTCTCTCCGCATCCGCTTTCTGCTAGTGTGGTCATGTATAGACCTTGGATCAAACAGTAAATATGTTGTTAGCAGTGAAGAATAAACAAAGACATAACATCTGGAGACTCTGGGGTAGCAATGAATTGCCTTTAGAGTTGTTTGTTTTTAATTTGCATTTGATTGATGATAGCAGAAATGAAAATCTCATCATTGTCTGTTGTTGACCACCAGCAATGGCTGAGCAAGAGCGCTTCCTACTACACCAGGAGACCCTGCCAGAGCAGCTTCTGACCGAGAGACAGCTGAGTCTTAGTGCGATGCCTGTGTTGACTGCACCCCAGCTCATCAGTGTAAGTGTTGTATATGTCATGGCCTTGTCCTGTTTCCACACTCAACAAGCCTGAGCTTTCTAGGCCATACTGTGGAGCTTCCAACAGGATCTTTTTCCCTCCTCCCACCTGCCAGAGACCTTTCCCCTAGAAAAGCTATTAGGAGCAGGCAGAATTAGCGGGATGCAGCTCCCCTGGCCCTCCAGGTGCTCGTTCATGGGGGACTAGTAGGAATCATGGTAGTTTGCTTTCTCAGAATAGGAGTGTGTGCTGTGAGGTAACTATCCCCCTAGATGTTACTCGGCAGACTCTCGTTAGCAAAGATACACAGGCTTTAGGTACCACCTTCACCTGTTTCCTGGCAACCAAATAATCCAAGGCAAGACCAGAACATCTAGGTTGCAGCAGATGAGCATCTGGTGTTGTGTGCACAGACTTCCTCCTCCTCTCGGGCGTCTCACCGAGTGTGCACTAATTGTAGTTAAAGGAAAACAAGCAGTCCAGAGTCTCGAGTGTAGGCCACTGTGGACAGCTGAGCTTCCGAACAGTGCTCTCTGCTGGGAGAGCATTTACTTGAGAGATCTAAAATGTAGGCTGTAAGTACCAGTATTTTATTTGTCACTAAGAAGGAAAGTGTGGTGCCAGTCTTGCTCAGACACATCATCTATTTAAATGCTACTCTCCGGTTTCAAAAGTGGAGACAAAGGGATTTTACAAAGGATTAGGTTTAAGCCTGTGTGACAATGAAAACTAGGAGATAGGTTATTTATAAAAGATTTTTTATATTGTTAAAGGATTATATGCTGTTCTTAAAAATGAAATTTGTCCTATTACATATAGTTGTTAGCAAAGGAAGATAGGAAAAATTCATATTGATTAAAAGATGGCAGGATTTTGGGGAACATGTACAGTTATCTAGCATCTAACTCACCAGGGAGACTGGATCACACAGGAAGTGTTGGTTTACTTCTTTACAGTGTTGAGCGTTGGAACCCAGGGCCTCAATGCTAGGCAGGTACTGACCACTAAGCCCAGGGGTATGCTAGGTTGTAGTTTTTAAAGCCATTTTAAAGAGTAGCATTCCAAAAGCCATGCACTGAGTCCCCTGTGAACCCAAGAACAAGAATTTATGTCAAAGATTATACATGAAAGCCTGATAAAAAGCTTGCAGTATCTTCTTAATCTCAGAATATACATTTTCTGGGGTTTTTTAAAAAGAACGGCCGGGCGGTGGTGGCGCATGCCTTTAATCCCAGCACTTGGGAGGTAGAGCCAGGCAGATCTCTGTGAGTTCAAGGCCAGCCTGGTCTCCAAAGTGAGTTCCAGAAAAGGCACAAAGCTACACAGAGAAACCCTGTCTTGAAAAACAAAAAAAAACAACAACAACAAAAAGAACATATGTCCCATTATAGAAATTAATTTCTGGTTTAGAATATGCATTGTTAGACAATTTACTGTACCCAGAATATAGTTCCCAAATGTGACATTGTTCTTGGCTACAAAAATAGGCGCAGATTATATGAAAGAAATCAGTTACTTATTTTCTTTCTCAACTTTCTTGGGTAATTTTCTACCTGGGGACTTGTTGCAGCTGTACATCTGTGAGGAGAACAGAAGAGCCAATGAGTACGATTTTAAGAAAGCCTTGGACTTGTTGGAATATATTGATGAGGTAAGAAATCACTCTGTCTAGGGGGCATGGTGGCTGGCCTCCCAGGGCATCCTGCACACATACAGTGCACTTAACATACATACAAGCAAAATATTCATATACATAAAAAATTTTACAGCTGGTGGTGGTGGTGGTTATGAATTAATGCAGAACAACAGTGTTAACTATGGGTTAATATAATTAAATTGAAATGTACATTTTAGTGTTAAAGCCTAGCTTTAATGGGGTTGTTCTGTTTTCTGTGAAGGAGGAAGACGTGAGCATCGATGAGCTGAAGCTGGAGATCCTGTGCAGAGCACTGCAGAGAGATGAGTAAGTCCTTGTTTGGGTGCCAGGGCCATGGGCCGGAACTGCTCCCGCCAGAACTGGAACTTGGTGCACAAGATGGGCTTATGTGCTTCTGGTGTTTCAGCATGCTTTGAGCATAGTAGTAGTTTCATTGGTAATCTTACTCTTTTGTTTTGTTTTGTTTTTTGAAGCCCTGTATAGCCCTGGCTGTCCTGGATCTTGTTCTGTAGACCAGGCTGGCTTCAAACTCACAGAGATCCGCCTGCCTCTGCCTCCCGAGTGCTGGGATTAAAGGTGTACACCACCACTCGGCTCTTTTTTTTTTTTTTTTTTTTAATTATTTAGTTTATGAGTGTTTTGCTGATTGTGTGTGTCTGTGCAACACGTGCATGCTTCCCACAGAGGTCAGAAGGTGTTCATCCCCTCCAAATTAGAATTACAGACAATTGGGAGCCACGATATAGGTATAATTTTGATGAGAACTCCCTGTCCTTGTTTAAAATTTTTTAAAACCGTGTGTGTGTGTGTGTGTGTGTGTGTGTGTGTGTGTGTGTGTGTGTGTGTGTGTGTGTGTGTGTACACGCTCACAGGCCACACCACACATGTAGAGGTCAGGGAATCACTTTCTGGAATGAGTTTTCTCCTTCCACCCACCTTGACCAGGTGTCAAACTTGGGTCGTCAGACTTGCAGGGCAAGTCTGTTTGCCCACTGAACTCTCTTGCCAGCCTCTGTTCTGGCTTCTAATCGAGTTTAGGTTGCCTGTGGCTTGTGTACCTTTAGCACTGGAAAGCAGTGCTGTGTGTTCACGTCCACTGGAAAGCAAGCCACTCTTCTTCACCTTGTTGGGGTGAGTTCATGTCAAGAAAGACAGAATTTGCTGAAAATTGTTTCTACTACTGTGCTCAGAAAGACAGACAGCATTTTAGTATGCTGACTAGATTTGTTACTTGAAGCACTTTCTTCAGAAAGATGCCTCACGCTGTATGATGATACACACCTGTAATTCTAGCACCTGAGAGGTGAGGCATGAGGATCAAGAGATTAGGGCCAGCCTGCACTACATAGCAAAATGCTGTGCCCCCCAACCCCCGTCCCCAAAAAAGCCTTTTTAAACTTGTGTGATGTGGTGGTTGTGATGGCATCTGCTGCCAGTGTAGTTAAGTCAAAACAGATTGGGATGTGTCCCACATTTAGAATCCATTATTTTGATAACTTGAAGCAGGATCACAGAACTTGACACTCTATCCCACGGCCATCAGGAGAAAGCCACAGTAGCAAGCAAAAACCATTTGTCTCAGCTGCCACGATGATTCAGTTTCTCTTGTCATTTTCTTTTCTAGCTGGTCCGGTTCAGACGGTAAAGATGATCCAATCGAAGTATCTAAAGACAGTGTATTTGTGAAGATCTTGCAGAAACTTATAAAAGACGGTAAGTGGTTTATTAACTGTTAGAAATTAAATGTTGCAGCCAGAAGTGGTGGCGCACGCCTTTAATCCCAGCACTCGGGAGGCAGAGGCAGGCGGATCTCTTTGAGTTCGAGGCCAGCCTGGTCTACAGAGTGAGTTCCAGGACAGCCAGGGCT